CTTTTAGCTCATGTTTTTCTTCTTTTAGCTCATGTTTTTCTTCTTTTAGCTCGTTTTTCTTCTTTTAGCTCATGTTTTTCTTCTTTTAGCTCATGTTTTTCTTCTTTTAGCTCATGTTTTTTTTCTTTTAGCTCATGTTTTTTTTCTTTTAGCTCATGTTTTTCTTCTTTTAGCACATGTTTTGCCACGTTTAGCTCATGTTTTGCTTCTTTTAGCTCATGTTTTGCCACGTTTAGCTCATGTTTTGCCACGTTTAGCTCATGTTTTGCCACGTTTAGCTCGTTGTTTGCCTCATTTAGCTCGTGTTGTGCCTTGTTTAGCTCATATTTTGCCTCGTTTAGCTTGTTGTTTGTTTATTTCACCTTTTAATAAACCAGTTTCAGTTCTTTCATCCTTTCAGCATTAAAAAGTTATTTAAAAAGTTAAAAACAAAGTTGATCCTGTTTTCATCTCTACAGAAACAAGTGTGATTGTTTTTTTTTTGTTTTTATTTGTGTTTAATCTTCTGCTCTTGTCGACTGACGAACGTTTTATGTTTTGAAAACAGGGATCAGAACAAATACAAAGAGGCAGCAAACCTGCTGAACGACGCGTTGGCCATCAGGGAGAAAACTCTGGGACTGGACCATCCGGCTGTGAGTCCAGCTCCAAAAATAAATCAGCTTAAAGTCTTTAGTGAAGCCAGTTAAAGCAGAATTAACCTCCAGGGACTTTCATTCATTGATTCTGTTTTCTCCCGTTGGATTTTATTTTATTCTGTTTCGTCTCGCCCCGAGTCAAGCAAGCATCATAACTGATATTTGATGTGTTGCTTGTTGTTTCTGTGTGTGTGTGTGTGTGTGTGTGTGTGTGTGTGTGTGTGTGTGCGCAGGTGGCAGCGACGCTCAACAACTTGGCCGTGCTTTACGGTAAAAGAGGAAAATACAAGGAGGCTGAGCCTCTTTGTAAACGAGCTCTGGAGATCAGAGAAAAGGTGACGCGTTAAATTATTTAAAAATCTTCTTAAATTACCTGACTTGTGCCACAAATCCTAATTTAAATTTAATCCTGAACCATAAAGGATTACATGTGGGGGTTGTTTAAAAGTTATACTTCTGTTTTGCTCAGTTCTTACGGTTTATTTTCATGTAAATGTTAAACTTTCAGTTAAAGTTAAAAGATGAGCTGTTATCTCTTTTCTTGTTTTGTTTTAACCAGTTAATCTCAATAATCCCTCACTGAAAACTAACTCAGGACCCAACATTTTTCAGTCAGGTCATCTGAACAGTTTCTTTTTTTGTGCTGAAACGTTTCGCCTTCGATCCAGAAGACTTCATCAGTCAAGGAAACGCAACAAAACTGATTCTGACTCGGGACCTTTCTGCGCCCCTCCTGAAATAAAAGTGCTGTTTTTTCGCTCAGGTTCTGGGTACGGACCACCCCGACGTGGCCAAGCAGCTGAACAACCTGGCTCTGCTGTGTCAGAACCAAGGGAAGTACCAGGAGGTGGAGCAGTACTACGAACGGGCTCTACACATCTACCAGAGCAGACTGGGACCAGACGACGCCAACGTAGCCAAGACCAAGAACAACCTGGTGAGCGAACATGTCCTGCTCCTGGCTTCCGTTGCTCGTCCAGGTCTTTTATTTGCAGGTTTTGTTTTTGTCCCCGTCAGGCCTCGTGTTATCTGAAACAGGGCAAATACAGACAAGCTGAAGCTCTTTACAAAGAGATTCTGACCCGAGCTCACGACAAAGAGTTTGGATCAGTGGAAGGTAAAGAAAGACGTCCATGTTCTCATTCTGTCCCACAGACGTCAGTCAGTCCTCTGTCCCTCTGTCCTCCAGGTGATGGCCGTCCCCGCTGGTCCAGCGTGGAGGACGGCGGCTCTGCGCAGGACGGGCTGAAGCGCAGCAGCTCCTTCACCAAGCTCAGAGAGTCGATCCGGAGAAGCAGCGAGAAACTGGTCCGTAAGCTGAAAGGAGTCGGGATGGAGGAAACGACCCCGAGGAATGCTGGGTAATAATATGGATGTTAAAGTCCTGCAGTGAGGGTAGCTGCAGCTGAGAGCCGATGGATGCTGCTAAAACACAATGAGTTCAAACAGGTCCAGGATCAGTTCTTATTATGTATGAAGTCATTTTGCACTAGTTTAATGGAGGTTTTAAAGTAGCTGACCGTTGGTTGGATTTCTGCCACTTAAATGTGTTTATTTAAATGCGTTTTACTTTTCAGGATGAAGAGGGCAAACTCTCTGAATGTTCTTAACGTTGGAACCAGAGAGAATCGGGATGGAACTCAGGTGAGCAGAGGACGAAATCTTCAAGTCTCTCGGTAGTTTTCATACGCCTGAAGGGTCATAATGTTATGGCACAAGCCGTTTGTCCGTTAGCAGTTATCTTATCAGCTCAACTCAGACACCCAGTTAAAAACTATGAAACCTAATGGGAAGTATTATTCCAGTATGTTGAGAAGCTTGTTGGCATTCTGCTTTTGAACCCGTCCTTCCTGGAGTTATGGCTCTTTGCTACATTTAACATATTTGACCCTTCACATTAAAATGAGGATGAGGTCGGATTTGATCTAAACAAACGAAGCGCATTTCAGATTCCTGCCTCCTGGATCATCCCGATATCATGAGCCTTTCCAGAGACGTGGCTTGATTTGTCTTGATAACCAGGATAACGCCCGGAAAATTGGTCCAAATCTTTTTTTTAATTTTTTTTTTAAATCATATTCTAATGAGGAGTTCTTGGCATCACGTGAAAAGAGGATATCAGGATTTCCAACTGGAAAGATGAAAAGATTTTCTAGCACGCAGTAGCAAAGATTTAACAGTTTTTTTTTTTGCTCAAAATAATTTAGTTTTATTCAAAAGATAAAGTTTCAGCATATTTAGACTAACGGCAGCTGTTGTAAACTATAGATGCGTGTCTCTGCGTACTGAAGGAGAGTTTAGTTTGAAGAGCAGAAGAATGCGTTTCTGTTGACGAGGACATGAGATGTACACAAGGTTCTTAAGGTCACAAATATTGAAGAGAAGTTTCAACTGAACTGGCAATAAGACCCTTTACTGGGTAGCCTACTGGAAAGTAAGGTGTGTGTTTACTTTACAGGCTGGTTTGCGTCTTCCAAGCGGAGAAGAACATTTGCTTATGGTTTGTATCGAGCAGGAGAAATGAGACGTGGGGCGACACCCAAAGATGGTGTACTTCTGAGAGTTGGGCTTCGTTTCTAGAAACCGTTGGAGTGACCACTTTCTGTTCAACGAACCCCGATTTCTGCTGTCAATCAGCGATCCAGTCTTTTATTTTTTACTTAACGATCGCCTGTTGAGGCTGAGCTTTCGAGTTTGACGCGACGTGTCGCGCAGAGAAACTCTCTACAGAATGAAACGTCGTGTGAAGTATTCCCACGATAAGAAGAGACGCATGTTCTGCTCTGACTTTAACAGAGTTGAGGCCCTTTAAACATTAATTCATACGAGCGCAAGCAAAGACGTGTCTAAGTGATGTTTCATCTGTTTGTTGGTTATTGTTTGAAATGTAATGTATGTAATAACTTCGACACTGTCCCCATCACTAGCTGCACATACAGATCCTTGCTTTTACAAAACGTCTTCCTTAAGGCGAGCGTTCATGACCGTTTTGAGCTACGCGATTCTGTCCTGTCCAAATAAAATGCCTCGCACGATGATGAATCCCTTGAAGTGAGTGCCCGTTCGTGTCGGGTTCTAACGGTCTTTGTGGGTCTTTTTCCTCCACAGTCGAGTCATCTGACGGACAGTCGAGGCCTGAGCTGCAGCACGCAGAGTCTGACGAGGCGAGGCTCGCTCGGCGGGACCAGATAACACGAAAACACTCGCACCATCTGCATTTAAGACTTTAAGCAGAAACCGGAAGGATGTTCACTCCCTGAGAAAACCTGCTGCTGCGAGCCGATATCGACACGGCACGGAAGAGAAACTGAGGTGGCCGAAAACCGGCGGTCAGAAATCAGATCCCCAAATTTAATTATATCAGCTTTTATGAATCAGTGTGTCTGTTTTAAGGTAATTAGTTTAATAATTGCACGTTTGTTTTTAAAGGTGACCAAAAGCAAAAAAAAAATTTATTGCGCCGAGAGCTAATTAACGTTAATTGCGTTAACGGCAGAGCTGGTGATCTGCAGATCGACATGTTTTAATACTTGAACATTTATTTATAAAGTAGATTTTCTCTAATTTAACAATCTTCTTAAAAAAGTGATTTTATAAAAAACAGGGATGTAAAGTTTGAATAATGACCCAGAGTTCTTGTTGAGCTGCACAAGAAGAGTTTAGCCGTCATGTTTACACCTTTGAGGTGATTTTAAAAGTAATAAAAGTGAAATTTTAAATCGTGGATTTAGTTTTTATACAGAAACTAGTTTAACTTTAGTGAACCGTCGTCCACTTCTAACATTCCACTTTAAGTTTGCACATTTCTGGTAAATGTATTCTCAAACGAGCGTTTTCCGGTAGTGAGTCCTCGCGCTGCGTTGTAGACGTATCAGTATTTGTTTTTCTTTAAGTTTACTTTGATTTGCTCTGTGTAAATATCAGACGCTTTGTTGAAAAGCTTAAAGCAGCTTTTTGTAAAGTCACAAGGACGCGTGAAGAAAATTGAAAGTAAGAAACCAAATCTAACGTCTGTTGGTTAAAAAAATAATTTGTTTCGGCTGCTAATGGTAACTACCAGGTGTGTTTAACTACAAAAACAGCCGAAGTGACTGAAAACGGGTCGACAACAACGTGCAGATCAGTTAAACGGTGAACTTCCCTACACAACGACCCGCTTACCGGAGGTGAGCCACCTGGTCTTAGCGGAGTGCTTTGTTTACATCGAGTGCAGACCCTCGTTTCAGGATTCACATCAATACATCTGTAAAACCACTGGAGTAAACTCTAAACGGCATCATGGGACATAATTCTTAATGACTTATTTGTTTTTGACTTCGTTCTTTGTAACGAGTCAAATTAGGAAACGCGTTTACTCTTTGATTATAATTTATGTACAAAGTTTAGCGGAGAACAGAAACGTAAAATAAATCGAGTTGAAATCCAGGATGTGTTGAAGCTGCTAAAGTTCATCATTTTGATTTTCTTTGTACGTCCATCGTCTTTAAACGCTGCTTCCTTTTTGGGTCGCCCACGTCGGGTGACGATCACTGTGCGAGAGGCGGGGGACACCTGGACAGGTCACAAGTCCATCACAGGATTGATAAATTAACATTTGTAAAACTGCATTAAAATTAAATTTTGTTACAAATGGAACATTTGATGTTTGGATAGCTGCTTCTTCCCCGAGTGTTTGAGGATTTGTAGTTCTGTTGGAAAATACCAGCCCGCTGTCACCGAGTCGGGTTTTTGTTTGAAGGGGAGAAGTCGCGTTGTTTGTTACAATAAAAGAAACTGGAGACGAATTAAACAAGATTTTTTTTTTTTTTTGGTTTGTTTTTTATTCCAAAAGAGGTTTTAACGTAAAAAAAACAAAGTACAAACACTTTTATTCCAACATTTAGAGGAACGTGTTTAAAGTGAGTCTGTACAACAAACTGTGGGGTCTGTATGACAGACGACATCTAGATCTGGTTTTAAATAATTTAGACGGTTTGTAAAGAGGAACGCAGAAACTGCTTTACAAACGGTTGAAACCGGCTTTAAAGAATGGATCCGTGCAGGACGCGTCGAGCAGCTTGAAACTGCAGCTTTACCGAAACGAGTTTCAGTTTTTTGACGCACGGAGTAAAACATCGTCTGAAGCCGGGTTTTTGTTGATGACGCAGGGACTCCGGTAGATTCAGATGTTTTATGGAGCTGAGCGCCGCCTTCAGGTCTGATGAGCGATCTGCGTGATCTTCTGCAGCATCTCCTCCGACTCCAGCTGCTGCAGGGTCAGCAGAGACAGACCCAGCTGGTCCTCCTGCCGAGACGAGGACAGACAACCAGGTGAATTTTCATAACTCCACGGTTCGTTTATCGCGGATTCGTTCTTTCGTGGTTTTTCAAAATAAGATTGGACATGACACACAATTGGCTGATTGATGGATGAGTCGCACGATCGGCATGGAGTTTTTATTTAAAGATGTTTAAAATTATTTCGCACCTGCTGCTCCTTTGTGCAGCTGAACGAAGTGGGCGTGGCCAAGAGGGCTCGGAGGAGTCACAGAGGGAAATCATGACATGCTCTTTTAGAGCATTTAGAGTTTAGAAACATTTAGAATATTGCAAGAGTGTGGGACGGGTTTAAAAAGCCTTAATAAATAAATATATACTAAAATAAACTACTTACTACTTGTACTACTAGTCCTACTTTGCAGTTTTTCACTTATCGCGGGTCTTCAGGGTACGATAAACGAGGGACTACTGTATCAGAATTAAACTCCCACTTCCTGAAACAGTATTTTGACGCTCCTGTGGTACCTGTCTGAACGGCTGAGCCATCTGACGCAGGAAGTGCTTGGACAGCTGGACCGCCTCGTCCACGGTGAGGTTCAGACTGCCGTCGCTGATGTGCTCCTGAATCCAGCGAGGAAGCTTCCCCCGTTTGTCCGCTCGGACGTATCGCTGCGGAGCACAAACCACAGCCGCTAACGTCACGACTAACTGAAAGGGGGCGTTCACGCCGAGCAGAGGAAAGTTCACCCACCTTGTCGGCAAAAATCATCAGGCCGTAGTCGGTTTTCCCTCGGATGGCTCGGCCCACGCACTGAGCGGCGTGACGCATGGCGTCAAACGTCAGGAAGTCGTTCTCCCTGATCTGAAACTGATCCCGCAGATACTCCAGACGAGCCTGGATCCAATAAAGACAGGAAGCGCCATAAAACAACTAAAGCAGGCTAAAATAAATTCATATAAACACGTTTCAGACAAGACGCCTCGCAGGTCATTACTCACAGTGATTTAACAAAACTTAATCGTATTAATAATTAAATAAATAAAACGGGCCTCAGCCACTTGTTTCAAAAATAAAGTTTGATTCTCATGAAACGTGAAAAATCATGGTAAAAATACTGATTATAAATACATTGTTATATTACTGCTGACCATTTGTTACACGACTGTAAACCTAAATATCCAGTTTGAGATCAATTCTGCAGTTAGCTCTCAGAGTGCGTATCAGAGATGACCCTCAGCTACTACCACACAAAATTTAGCTCATTATCCGAAAAACAGTCGTTTGTTGTGACTAAAGTGTGACCAGAAATCATAGATGTTAAACTGTCATGTTGGTCTACATCTGCTGATGGACGCCACATCGAGAATTTACAAGAAGACATATCAAAGATGTCCAACAGGAGACGACGTAACATTAAGACGTCCAACAGAAGAAGACGTAACATTAAGACATCCAACAGAAGACGGACGTAATGTTAAGACGTCCAACAGGAGACGACGTAACATTAAGACGTCCAACAGAAGAAGACGTAACATTAAGACATCCAACAGAAGACGGACGTAATGTTAAGACGTCCAACAGAAGACGGACGTAACGTTAAGACGTCCAACAGAAGAAGACGTAACGTTAAGACGTCCAACAGAAGACGTAACGTTAAGACGTCCAACAGAAGACAGACGTAACGTTAAGACGTCCAACAGAAGACAGGCTTAACGTTAAGACGTCCAACAGGAGACGACGTAACGTTAAGACGTCCAACAGAAGACGGACGTAACGTTAAGACGTCCAACAGGAGACGACGTAACGTTAAGACGTCCAACAGAAGAAGACGTAACATTAAGACGTCCAACAGAAGACGTAACGTTAAGACGTCCAACAGAAGACAGACGTAACGTTAAGACGTCCAACAGGAGACGACGTAACGTTAAGACGACCAACAGAAGACGGACGTAACGTTAAGACGTCCAACAGAAGACAGACATAACGTTAAGACGTCCAACAGAAGAAGACGTAACGTTAAGACGTCCAACAGAAGACAGACATAACGTTAAGACGTCCAACAG